CTTTAAAAACACACACACAAAAATAAACTCATGAAAATCTACCATGCTATTGGATAGGAAGACTTAACATTGTGAAAATGTCAACACTTTCCAAAGCAATTTATACATATAATGCAATCCCAATCCAGAGTACAACGACAGTCTTCAAGCTGATGGAAAAAACAATCACAAACTTTATATGGAAAGGAAAGAGATCCAGGATAAGCAAAGAACTGCTTAAGAAGAAGAATAAAGTTGGAAACCTCTCACTCCCTGACTTCAAAATTTATTACACGGCTACAGTGGTCAAAACAGCTTGGTATTGGTACAATGAAAGGTACATTGATCAATGGAACAGAATCAAGAATCCAGAAATTATCCCATCCACATACAGCCAACAGATTTTTGACAAAGTACCTAAATTATATCACAAGGGGAGGTGATGGTTTCTTCAACAGATGGTGTTGGCTGAACTGGAAAGCGATATGCAAAAGATTGGAACAACACTTTTACCTCATGCTATACACGAAAATCAACTCAGCATCGATTAAAGATCTAAATGTGAATCCCAAAATTATGAAGGCCGTCAATGAAAAAAATAGGAACAAATGTGAGGGCACTAATTCAGGGAATACACAGACTACCAAACATTTTGAAATGTACACAAACAAAAGTGGACAAAATAGATTATTGGGACATAATAAAAATTAAAACTTATGTGCATCAAAAGACTTCACCAGAAAACTAAAAAGGGAACCCACAGAATGGGAAAAAATCATTTGCAATGGTACATCTGACAAGGGACTCATTTCTAAAATATATAGGAAACTACAACACCTCTACAAGAAAAAGACAGATAACCCAATTAAAAATTGGGCACAGGACATTAACAGACACTTCACCAAGGAGGTGATCCGGGCAGCCAACGAACATATTGAAGAAATGCTCACAATCACTAGCCATTAGAAAGATGCAAATTAAAGCAAAATAAGATATCATCTCACACCAGCAATAACAGCAAACGTCAAAAAAGTAGAGGATAATAAATGCTGGTGAGGATGTGGAGAGATTGGGACGCTCCTGCATTGCTGGTGGAATTGCAAAATGGTTCAACCTCTCTGGAAAGCAATGTGACGCTTCCTTAGAAGGCTGGAAATAGAAATACCTTATGATCCAGCAATTCCTCTACTTGGTATTTACCCACAAGAAATATGAGCCATACACGAGTAGATATATGCACACCAATGTTCATAGCAGCACTATTTACAATAGCAAAAAGTTGGAGACAGCCTAAGTGCCCATCAACGGAAGAGTGGATAAACAAACTGTGGTACATACATACCGTAGAATATTATGCTACCTTGAAGAACAACAAGGAAGCTGTAAGCTATCACATAACATGGGTGAACTTTGAGGACATTATGTTGAGTGAAATTAGTTGCAAAAGGAGAAATCTGCATAGGAGCACTACTGTAAAGACTAAGAAAAATAACCCATACTAAGAGCGGGGGCGATTCTTTGCTGGTTATCGGGATGTCGGGTGGAGGGGCGGTGAGGGAAGGGAGGGGAAGGTGGAGCACAGGGTAGGGAGTAGACATATGATAGTTTGGGTGCTAGGGAGGGGGGCAATCACAAGAAAGGGGAGGGGAATGGAAGAACAAGGTAGATTGGAGAACAATTAGGCAGGTTTGCGTGGACTAAGTGGGACAGAGGTAAATAATGATGTGTGCACAACCTTGGAACAGCAGGGCTCTGGGATACAGGGATTGAGACATGGTTGGAATGGGCAAAAGGGGGGAAATAATGTTAAGATGCTTGCCTGTCTTTTGAATCTTGGTTTCCCTGGCATACCATATAAAATAGACACTTCAGTGGAAGGGAAAGAAATAGCTAGAAATGCCACCATAGAAAGCTTGTAAGTCCGTCTTCTGCCTATAACTGGTTGTTGTTGTTGTTAAGTGCCGTCGAGTCGGTTCTGACCCATAGTGACCCTGAACAGGGTTTCCAAAGCTGTAAATCTTTACAGGAGCAGAAAGCCTCATCTTTCTCCCACGGAGCAGCTGGTAGTTTCGAACTGCTTACCTTGTGGTTCGCAGCCCAATTCATAACCACTACGCTACCAGAGCTCCTGGTAGGAATACCTAAAATGGGACTACACTGTGCCCAGTGAAAGAGGCTTCCTATGGAGCCTCTGTATTACATTAAGACCATAGGTGGAATCCTGAACCTCACCCAGAATCTTCTGAGGGGAAAATTTCCACTTGAAAGGACAAACAGACCAACCTGGAACAGCTAGAAGAACAGAAGATACTTCGTGAAAGAAAGACAGACAGGAAAAATACAAAACAATAACAGCAGTCTGACTGATTACTATAAGAATAAGCAAGTTGCTCACTCAGGAGACATCAAGGGAAGTGGTTGGGTCCCCTCAGGGAAAATCCCCTTCCAAGACTAAGACTCAATGGGAATACTCGAGCATACATGCACTCTGATTGGTGACCACATTTGTCACCGATAAGGGGAAGTGAGGGAAAAACAGCAATGAAGCTGTGAGCTAAGCCCTACAATGTTCAATAGACTCCTATGAACCCGGGTGGAGACCTGGTTGGCCAGCAGTGTGGCAAGACCTGGGGACTCTTGGGCCCAGATTCAGTGACATAGCCACAGAGGACTAGAGTGGAGAGTAAAGCATCCAGCTGATAAAAAGAGAGGGCATATGCATAAGAACACCCACACTTGCAGATAACACCCAGTCAACCTGGCTTCAATGACTGGATAATCAGAGCTCAACTAGAAGAAGAAAGAAGAGGACAAAAAGGAGTAATCTGATACAATTTGATGAACTTGACCTACACCTATGGATGCAGTAGCTCAAAAGAGGAAACAAATCTTTACAGCGAGGATCATTTCCACCCCCTCCATATACAGACTAGACAGGGATGGGCAACTTGGACATTGGCTACCCAAAATGGGTGGGGCTACAAAGGCAAGAAGTGACTGGCTTACAAGTTTTCAAGAGGGAGCCTAGATCAGGGGGCATGGAGGAAGGTAGCATCAACACTGAATAGTATCCAATCTGTCTGGGCAGGCTAATGAAAGGAGATGGGGATAGGTCCCTTGTGGTACAATAGTGAATAATTGTTATCAGGACTGACTGCGAGGGTTGGTAATGTAAAGGTGGATGTTTTGTAGCAAAAGGAGGGGAGAGATTGACTTTGCAGTCCAGGAGCAGAGGTCCCTGGAACCATCAAGGGAGAAGAGCGGAGAGCGGGACCCTACCCAGAGAAACAGTTACACCAGAGATGGAGGCAGAGACGACGACATGGAGAGATGGAGCAGCTGGGGACTCTAGACCCAGACAGGGAGAGGGGCTGTATGCTGACGACCGGGGAGACAGGCTTGCAGGCTATATATACCCTTTGGTTGGTTGATGATGCATAGAGGGGATTATAACCATGGCAGTGAAACTATACGATAGCATGAGTGTAAAGCTAATGTTCTCCCATTTAAACTATCACATAATTCACAATAAAACATTTTAAAAAATAAAAAATAAATTAACTCATGGTCCCCTTTTCTCACTCAAAAAAATCATCTATCTACTAGAATTTGCAGTCTCAGAAACCCTACACGGGGTTGTTACGGCACACCGCCACCTATCAGAAAGAAGACATAATTATGGTCTAGCTAGGCGCTGTGATCATGTTGTATAGGATAGAGCATATCAAGGCAAGGACACTGTTCATTACAGAGGTTGACTTGAGCTAAGAATTCCAAAGTGTGGAGTTGATCAGCCTTTTCCATATGCACTCATTTATTCTATTAAGGTAATTCTACCTTGTTGATTAAAAAGTTATTTCTTAATTGTTGGTGTTGTTAAGTGCCATGGAGTTGGTTCCAACTCATAGCCACCCTGTATAGGGTTTCTATGGGGAGTGGCTAGTGAGTTTGAACCACTGACCTTTCAGTTACAAGTCCAGTGCTTATCCTACAACACCACACCAGGACTCCATTTCTTTATCAGGTTCTAGATATTCGGGTTTGGTTTTGGTCAAATACAGCTGAAATTGACTGGCACACTATTGATGATTTTTGTACAGATTCAAGATGTTTCAAATTCAGGTCAAAACCATGTTAGGAATAGATTTGATATAGAAAAGGAAATTCTGAGGCTCTTACTAAAAGTAGTGTAGGCCATAGAGAATTGGTAGAAATTTCAAAGTGAAGAGAAACAGTGTGGGAAGTCAGTAAGAATATATATCATACTTTGACAATAGTGTTCTTCAAAAGGGAAGAGACTTAACGAAAGGGACTTGGGTTCTCTGGGCCAGTGATAAGAAAACTGAATCTTTTGTTCTGGGTATGCTTGAATTTTTTTTTTTTTTTTCCAAAAGCTTTTATTGTGAATTGAGTAATAGTTTACATGAGAGAACATTGGTTTTGCACTCAACCTGTCGTTTTTGTTTTACTGCAATGATTACAATCCCCTCCATGCATCATTGGGTTACAGTATTTGCTTCTATTCACTCTTTTTTTTTTCATTGTACACAAAAACACATAGAAATATATAATCGTTCAAACAACCAAAGGGCACATTCTGCAAGCCTGCCTCCTACCCACCTACCCATCAGCACAGTCTTTCTCTTTCCGTAAGTCTAGAGTTCTCAATTGCTCTCTCTCTCCATATCATCATCTCTGCCTCCATCTCTGGAGTCACTGCTTCTGTGGATAGGGTTCCACGTTCAGCTCATGCTCTTCTTTCTTGATGGTCCTAGGGTCCTCTATCCCTAGAATTAAGATTAACTATTTCCCACTTTTTGTTACAGAACTCCAAACTTTACAGTGACAATCGCAATTAGTCATGATAACAGTTACTCACTGTTGAATCAAATGAGTCATAGGCCCATCTCTTTTCACCAAACCCATCTAGACAAGATGAAAACTACTGAATTTTTTGTTAAGGAAGACAAAGGGTCTTTATTTTATTCTGTTTAAGATTTCTACTAAGGAGCTCTGGTAACATAGAGGTTACAAATTGGTCTGCAATCCTTAAGGTCAGCAGTTCGAAACTACCAGCTGTTCTGCGGGAGAAAGATGAGACTTTCTGCTCTTGTAACGATTTACAGCCTCGGAAATCCTGTACAGGGTCACTATGAGTCAGGACCGACTCCACGGCACATAACAACAACAACAAGAACAAGGTTTCTACTAGGGATAGGGAGAGGAATTAGAGAAGGGAAAAAGAATAAATTGCATCTTTAATGAAAGGTTTTAATTTGCTTGCTTATTCCATTTTATTCCTTGTGAGTTGACAGCTTTGGATGACACCAATTTAGGCTTTGTACTCAAAGACCAGCACACAGTCTTTCTCTTTCCATAAGTCTAGAGTTCTCAGCTGCTCTCTCTATGTCATCACCTCAGCCTCCTAGAAAACCTACCTTATTGTACCTACCCTTACTGGTCTCAAACTTTGGTGTACAATAGGATTATTTTCTAGTGAACTTATTAAAAATTCAAACTCTAGGATCTATCCTAGGGGTTTTTATTCCTCACTTGGGAGTGGGGCGTGGAGATATGTATTGTAGTAAGCTTCCAGTGCAATGGGTTTGCAGAAAATAGCTTGAGAGGCACTGATTGCTTTATATTTTGAGGATAGAAAACATCCTCATGGTTATCCTTCTTAGATGTGGTGTATTTAAGTTCTTCAAATGAAAACTCAATTTAAAAAACACAAGAATTCATTGCCGTTGAGTCAATTCCAACTCAGAGTAACTCCATAGGACAGAATAGAATGACCCTTAAAGTCGATTTAAACCACAAGAGTGGCAGTTCAAACCCACTAGCTGCTCCTCGGAAACCCTGTAAGTTGGAACCAACTTGGTGGCACTTAACAACAATAGGGTTTCCTAGACTGAAATGTTTACAGAAGGAGACAGCCATCTTTCTTCCACAGAGATGCCGGTGGATTCAAACCCCCAACCTTTTGGTTAGGAGTTGAGTGTCTAGCCACTGCACTATTGGTTGGTTGGTTGGTTGGTTGGTTGGTTGGTTGGTTGATTGATTGATTGATTGATTGATTGATTGATTGATTGATTGATTGATGTAGAAGGCCCTATTACTGATCAAAGAGAGTCTTCGTGGAGCTGTAAGATAAGCACTGGACAGCTAACTCAAGATTGGCAGTTCAAACCCACCAGATGCTCCATGGAAAGTTTCTGTAACAATTTAGTCTCAGAAATCCTATCTAAGGTTGCTGTGAGTCAGAATCAGCTCAGTGGCAGTGGGTTTTATTGGTGACCAAAGGTAGTACCGTGGGTTAAGGACGGGCTGTTGACTGCAAGCAGGGTCAATGGTTCAAACTTACCAACTGTTCCTCTGTTTGCCCCTATGAAGATTTATTGTCTCCAAGCCCCCACAGAGCTGTTCTGTTCTAATCTGTCTTGTGTGGTTGCTGTTAGTTGGAATTGACTCGATGGCAGTGGGTTTGAGTTTTTGGTTTTGTTGCAGAGCATTGTTGTTGTTTTTAAGTACCGTGGAGTCGGTTCCAACTCATAGCGACCCTGCACAGGGTTT